AATTACAAGTTTAAAGTCTGGCTTAATGGTATGGAGATGGGATTGTTGCAATACTGAAGCCAACACAATCAACAGAGAAGTAAGAACAAAGAGTAAAATAAAAAAAATGTCTGCTTCCCTATTTGACATCCATACCTGAAGTAAAACTTGCAAGACTGTCGTAAATTAATGTATATCATAAAATAAATTTAAATTTATTGTCTCCATTTATTGCAATGTTTTATACGGTACTCTAGGCGAGATGGACATTATACAAGTCTAAAAATTAAATTAAATTTTATTGAATGATTGTAAGAATAACCTTTAGCAAGACAGGCAGCATGTAAGTTTAATAAATAATTAAATATTTAAGAAACAAGACCAAAAAAGACAGGCAAACTTTCTATAATTTCATGGGTTTTTATTGCATTTTGTCTGAAATGATTGATTAACCAAAGTCTTATTTTTCAACAATGAAAATCATATACCGGTAATTATGAAACTCCCTGAGTGATTTACCCTGCAAATATCTCTATTGATCCGGACGAATGAGAAGCTGTTAGCTTTCTTATATTATTTTTGTTAAGAACTCCACAACTTAAGAAATAAATGACAAGTGTCTCTAACACAGCAACTACTGCCATACTACACAACACAACTACACAAAATCATGTGTTGCATTAGCATGTTTTACTGAATAAGCCACAAACATTCTGTGTATTCACTGAAAATTTGCTAGAACATCAGCAAAGAAATCACATTAAACTTTAAATTAGTACATTTAAGCAATAAAAACCAATATAGTTTTGTAAACAATATAAACAGAGACCAATTGCCTTCTAGGAAACACACATTATATAGCAGGAAATAACATTTTTGGTAATAAATCGTTCCAAAATTATTCCAAGTCCTGTGCATGGAAGGAGGCTGTGAGTTACTTGGCAATAAATTCACAGATTTTCTGGAGGAATATTTAAACTAAACAACGGGGACAGTGAATTAATTGATACAGAACATCCTTGTCCCTGGCAATCTAAAAACTATAGGGCTATCAGTGCATGTAACATAGATGTGTGTGTGGACAAGAATATCAACCTTGCTGTCAAGCAAAATCAAGCCTCAGGCACTCAGGCACCACACAGGTTATGTAGGAAGTAAACACAGGGTCGGTCATAAATGACTCAAATGTCTATACACAATTATGTCGATACACAAGGACTCATACCCTATACACAGAGTATGAACAGCAAACAGGGTGAACTAGAAATTCAGGTTAATGAGGGCAGATATGATATTGTTGCCATTATGGAAACATGGTGGAATGAAACCCACAAATGGAACACACAGCTAGAGAGTTTTAAATTATTTAAAAGAAATAGACCAAATAAAAGAGGTGGTGGAGTTGCTCTCTATATAAGAAATAATTACATCTCTACAGAAATAGAGCATAACATACATCTTATCAAACCATTTTTCAAGCAAAAGGTTATCCAGATATTTCCATTATTGAACAACGGTCTTGGTAAATACAATCCAAAATTAAAAAGAAAATGATATTCAGATAATGATACTGATGTTATCTGAATATCATTTTCTTTTTAATTTTGGATTGTTGTTTCTGATGTCTTAATGATCAATAAAACTGTATCTCTCTTATCAAAAGAGTTGTCAGAAAGGAGATCGTGATCTAGTTGATGACCCTCCTTTTCATGCAACTAATAAAGAAGGAATTGTACAGGTAGCCCTTGACTTACAACCATTCGTTTAGTGACCATTTGAAATGATAAAGGCACTGAAAGAGTCACTTAGGACTGGTTCCCACACTTATGACCAACACGGCATCCTCCTGGTCACAATATCAAAATTTGGTTGCTTAGCAACTGGCATGTATTTACAACAGTTCAGTATCTCAGGGTGATGTCCGCCATTTGCAAGCTTCCCAACTGGCTTCCAACAAGCAAAGTCAATGAGGGAAGATGGATTTGTTTAACAATCCCGTGATCCACTTAACAACTGCAGTGATTCACTTAACCATGGCAAAAAAACAACAACATAAAATTGGGCACAACTCACTTAACAATCACTTTACTTAGCAACAAAAATTCTGGTCCCAGTTGTGTCATAAATCGAGGATTACTGTACCTTTTTTAAAGCAATCAATATGACAATACCTGTGCATTTTTAAGAACAGGCCCTCACATTTTTAGTTTAGTTTCTCAACCGTGTAATTAAAACTAAAGGGACTGTTATTAGCTCAAGAGCAAGAAATAAGACAGGACAAAACAAGAGTGAGATATAAAACATATAAAGTATTATCTTGCTAAAAAGAAACCCAGTTTCCAAAGTAAGCAGGAGGGTTGCTTTAAAATGACATTTGCAAAAAAAAAGGTTTGTTAGGAATAACTTTCAACCTCAGCATCATATAACCTTTTACAGATCAACGATTTCATGAAACCAACACCTTCACACGGACATTAGACAAAACTTCCAATTTATTCCAATAATTATTTGAATAAAAAAGGACAAATAATATTGTGGAACTTTAAGGACTAGCACATTTATTCCATGCCTAGAATCTTGTAGTTTTTCAAGATACAATGTTGTCTTTAGTGCAAATTATTGCTCCTTACGTTCATAAAAAAAAACCCTGCCTTAAGTTTCATTTCTTTTAAAAGATATACTGTATGCGGTAACATCTGGCCTTCTTCTCTGGTTAGGAAAACAAACAGGCTTGACCCTGCTTTGATGGGAAATACCAGGGATATAAATTAGATCGGGAAGTTGAAAATCTTCCTAAAAGGCAGCAGGGAATGTTTGCTGTTAAAAAAATTAGAAGAGATCATGTTAACACTCCTTTCATTTCTTTCCAGCCTCAGCAAATGATTTTAAAATTCATGTTTCAGTCGGCAGCTTGTCTACTTTGAGTCTTTTCTTCTCATCACAGCATTTTCAATTCCACACAGTTTCAGAATCTTTGATTAAATTATTGAACCATAGAAGTCTCTAGTACTGACACAAACACAATGAAATGAAAGTAACTTACGAGGAGATTCTGTTTCTAATCAGAAATCGGCTTTCATGAAAGTTACTGATGGGTGAGACCGTGTAGCATTTACCCTGTGTTAGCAAATCTGATTTACTTGAGATTGCTAACTAATTTTTCCCCCATGACAAGTCAGGAAAATTCCACCATGTCCAAAAAAGAAGAAAGAAAGAAAGAAAGGAAGGAAGGAAGGAAGGAAGGAAGGAAGGAAGGAAGGAAGGAAGGAAGGAAGGATAGATCTTGGTAAACCAGTGAAGTTATTTGCTTCATATTTTTTTTCCTGCCACACCTCTCCTTACTTTTCTTCTGGGTGCAAATACATTCATTTTTAGTGAAAGAAATCTTTCATATGCTCCAAACAGAAGTCTTTTTATAGCATGCTGTTTTTTCTCCTATATCAGTGGTGGCGAATCTATGGCATGCATGCCAGAGGCGGCACTCGGAGCCCTCTCTGTGGGCACACGTGCCGTTGCCCCAGCCTCGCCTCCCCCCGCGAACCCCTCCTCACCAGCAGCCCCCCTGGAGGAGAGTTGCCCCCAAGCGTGGCCCACACAGAGCAGTGCAGCCAAGGACATGGCAGCCAGGCAGCGTAGACAAGACTCTGCCCTCATGCCCCATCCTGCACAGTTGATGCTGCGGGGTGCGGGCAAAGGGCATGGCCATGGCACTGCTGGGCTGCCTGGGCAATCTGCGGTGGGCCCTGGAGGCGGTGAGTGGCCCTGCGGGCAGGCGGGGTGAGGGACGGGGTGGGGGGGGCAGGGGTGGGACAAGGGGGTTGAGCGGGAGTGGGGCCAGTTTTTGGGCACTCAGTCTCTAAAAGGTTCGCCATCACTGTCCTATATAATTCATGTCTACAGGGGACCTACCGGTAGCTGAATAACCAGAGATGAGGATAGTTTGAGTCTGTTGCAACTTAAAATGAGCAGAGGGAAAAAAAAAAAAGTCTTTTGAGCCTGCTGCAATTAAAACTGTGAAAACAGACTGACTGACTGCATTTGCTAAGCACATTAAATTCAATATCAATTTATGTGCAGCTAATACAAATAGTCCTCGAATTACAACCACTGTTTAGTGACCATTTGAAGAAACAATGGCATTGAAAAAAGTGACTTATGACTGAGCTTCACAATTAAAACCATTGCAGTGTCCCCCCCCCCCAATAGTCATCTGAGGAAAAATTGGGTACTTGGCAAGTAGAATGTATTCACAATGGCTGCAAGTGCCCTGGGGTTATTTGATTGTCATTTGCAACCTTCTCAGCTGGTTTCCAACAAGCAGAGTCAATGGGGCAAGCTAGATTGCCGCATGATTCTCTTAACAACTGCAGTGATTTCCTTAACAACCGTGGCAAAAAACGGTCATAAAATCAGGAAACCTTCTCAGCTGGTTTCCAACAAGCAGAGTCAATGGGGCAAGCTAGATTGCCGCATGATTCTCTTAACAACTGCAGTGATTTCCTTAACAACCGTGGCAAAAAACGGTCATAAAAACAGCCATCTTGTTTAGCAATAGAAATTCTAGTTTCACTTGTGGTCGTAAGTCAAAGACTACCTGTACGGTCCAAGTCTTGACATTTCTAAACAAACAAAAAAAAATTGAGTAGATTCTGACTGGGAAAAATTAATTGGGTAAAAGTCTCAAATTGCCTGTTTAGCCCCTGGGCAAAAATCTACTAATACTGTTTTGCTAACTTTCATTGAAAAGATAATACAGTAGTTTAAAATTTCAGTGTTAAGAGTGAATGTTTCATATACTGCTTTATTTCTTAGCATATTCTGTTCCAGGACAGAACATCCTATGCCTAATATTTTTTTTTTGCGAAAAATAATAATAATTTGCTCTTTGGAAACTTTCCCCTCTAAATTAGCTGGTTTTAAGACACCTGGAAAAATTATCTATAATACACATGCCAAAGACTGAAGGATTAATTGTTTTAAAACGTGCACTGATCAAATAGCAAAGCAACATTTTTCTTAAATACTTTCCCAATGCATTTTTAATCAATTAAGAAGTAGTTTTGCAAAGCAGCTAACCAATAAGCTACTTCTTCTAGCTTTATAACTTGTATTCTATCATCCTGAATGGAAACTGTGTAAACTGCATCAATGGTCAGAGTTAGGAAGCTATTTTGCTAATGCTAATGCTATCAATTTTCATAAAGCATAGCTGTAATTATCATTAATAACCTGAAAATGCTAACATGGGGTCCAAATAATGCAATTATTTTACTTGTAATAAAACAATTTGGTGAAGATATTTCATCTTGACATTCTGTATCTTGCCAAAGGGGTCCGTTTTTCTGGCTCACCCTGGCAATAAAAGGTTTTAAAATATGCGTAAAACAAATGGAGTCGTAATTTGAAATTGTCTGACAATGAAAGGCATAACAGCATCAAAACCTGTGGTGAGTCATTGCAGATCAACCTCTTCGGATATGCATATAGGGGTAAGAAAGTCTAATTTTTAAAAAAATATTCTCCACTTTTAAAAAATTCTACTGCTATAAAAAACAGGCACATGAAAGTGAAAGTTGAGCTCAAGTACACCTATTAGAATCCTGGATGCAGGACAAGGAATGTCAAGAAGAAAAGGGAATGTCAAACTATTTACAGTTTCTTATGTCCTATTTCCTGAGACAAACCTTTTTGGATGGAAAATAGAGAGAATTACCTTTTGGATGGAAAATAGAGAGAATTACACACCTTTTATGCACTTGCAATGACTTACAGGTGGAAGATTTGACCCATTACATTGCAAACTTCTGATCTAGATTCATTCTGCCCTTGTTAACTGAAACAATCTAGTTTAGAAGAAAAGATCTACTTTTTGTTGATAGATGAAGACAAACATATAACAAAACAAGTTGCATTGCTTGCAATGGCTTCAAGGAAGCTACAAAAGCACATCCTGACAAATAGTGCTTTTAATATTAGAGGGGATGTATAGAATGGATATGATCGCTATAATTTTATATGTATTTTGCTAAAACCTAAGGTTGCAAATAAAAGTTTAAATACAAATGTGGGGCAGTCTACACATTTTTGTGCTTCAATTTGGTTAAGAACTGTATCGACCATAGAAGCCAAAAGACAGAAACAAAAAAAAAAAGTACACACACACACACAAACACAATGGTGACTCTCCAAATGATTATTAAACCAAGCAATCTTAACTTATCAATTGGTTCTCCAAGAAAAAAACTGAAGTATCCCTGATATATTTTCTTGTGCCTTGGTTGGGTAAATGCGTCAACCCAACCATCCTGCATGGAAACTCAGTCAGTCCGAAGAAGTCAACTTTCAAACCACTTGGCGAGGTTCTGGATGGTCTTGGGCTCTTTCCCAGCCTTTCTGACTACATCACAAACCTTGCAACAGTGTTCAACCCAAAAGGACGTCACCTGCGTTTCATACTGTTTCCTCCAGGCAAAATGCTTTCTGTACATGTTCTTGTTTTTATCTAGGAATTTCAGGTAAACCGCCAGCTCCATGGGGTCAGAAAAGTCATTGACATGAATGAAGGCTTCGGAGGGCATAAACTGTTCGTAGTTGGCCCTCGGGGGACCCAAGACGATGGGGACAGCCCAAGATTCAAAGGCGTTCCTCCAGACTTTCTCCGTGATGTAGTCCTTATGCTGGGAATTTTCAAAGGCCAAATAAAACTTGTATTCCGAGACGGTCTTGACCACATTGTTATCTTTGAGCGCCAGTTTGTGAGACCCAAACACATCAATGGGGAGGTACTTTTTCAGCTGGTGGTAATAATGGACCCGGGCGTGACCTTCGTTCCAGTTACTGACCACCCAGGCTACCAGCTTGGTCTTCTTGGGCAAGGTGAACTGGACAAGGGGCTCCGGGCGAAGCCTGAGGTACCCATAGGGCACAAAGACATCCGAGTCCAACCGGTAGGACAAAGTCCAGTTGAAAAGACCGGCCATGCTTTGCAGGCCCGTGGTGTGGGTGGGCGACTCCAAGTTCATCCAGATCCACCGCTGGCCCGGCGGCCTCTGACGGGGCATCTGGCCGATGCCGTGCCCCTGCAGGTCCCGGTGATGGAAGAGGACGGCGTGCGCCTCGGACTGGAGGCTGCGGTTGGTGGAGACGCGGCAGGCGCTGATGTTGAATTTCCGCCCGCAGTCCCCGGAGACACTGCTGCTCCCGAAAGGCGCCCACCACACCAGCACCGTCACCGTCTCCGTCTCCGGCTCGGGCTCGGGCTCGGGGTCTTTTTCCTCCAGCCAGGGGCCTTCAGGCGCCGCCGGGTCCATCAAGCTGCTGGCCGTGTACCAGCCGAGCAGGGTACAGCAGGTCAAGCAGGCCGCCAGGACGTGCCACTGCCGCCCGCCCGGAGCCACCCACCAGCCCCGAGGGGCGCGGGGGTCGCTAGGAGCCGCCTCGGGGGGTTCCATGGAGAGGCGGCGCCTGCGCCACGGAGGCAGCTGATCGTCGGCCAAAAAGCCCAGGCGACTCCGCTCTCCGGCGCCGGCGGGGGCATAGGGGTAAACCCTCGCGGCGGCCTCAGTCCCCGTCCAACGGGATGAACGCGGCGCCGAGAATGCATGCTGGTGGTGGGTGTGCTGGTGCTGCGGTTGGCACCGTCTCCGCCCGGCGACCTGCCCCTCAGGCGGCGGTGGCGGCGCCCCCGGGAGGTGCCGCTCGATCTGTTCAAACGAGCCGTCCCGCCCCGCCATCCTGCCCCCCCCTCGCCGGAGCAGCCCGGGCTGGCCTAGCGGCAGCCCTGCCCTCGACGCTCAACCCACCTTCCTCCGCGGATCCCGTCTGGGGAGAGCCGCCGGACCTTCCCCCGTTGGCCCTCCGCCCGCTTCCACACACCCCCCCCCGACCCCCACCCCGGTCCTAGGGCTCCGCGGTAGAGATTCCTCCGGCGGAGCTTCCTTTCCTCCATCAGTGGAGAAAGGGCTGCGCGGCAGGGGAAGAGGCGTCCCGGCGCCCTGGGCTGCATCGAGGCCAACGCCGCCTTCTCCTCTAAGAAAGGCCCCCGCGGGCATGAGGGGCGCAGGCCGGCGGTAAACCCCAGGTTCCTTGCGCCTGTTTGGCTGGGCGAAGCGACTCGAGAGCGGAGCCGCGGAGCCCTGAGCAGAAGAAAAGCGTTTGGAGAGAGGAGGGAAGCCGGTTCCTACAGGTAGTCCTCGGTTTGCGACAGTTCGTTTCGTGGCCGTTACAAGGGCACTGCAAAGAAGTGACTTGTGGCCGTTTTTTCACACTGCACAACGCTTGCAGCATCCCCACGGTCACGTGAACAAAGTTTGGACGGTTGGCAACGGACTCGTGAGGGTTGCGGTGTCCCCGGGGGTTATGTGATCCCTTTTTTTTTTGCAAAACTCTGACAAGCAAAGTCAATGGGGAAGCCTGATTCGCTTAACGACCATGTTACTAACTAAACTGCCACAGTTATTCGTTTAATAACTGTGGCAAGGAAAGTCGTAAAATGGGGCCAAATTCACTTAACAAGTATCTCGCTTAGCAAAACAAATTTTGGGCTCAGTTGTGGTCTTAGGATGAGGACTACCTGTACAAAGGTATCATCTGGTCCTGCCTCTTGTTCCACGCTAAAAGAATTCCAGTGATATGGCTATAGAGCCAGGATTTGGAAACCTCCAGAGAAAGGAAAGAAAATGGTTTCAAACAATTTCTATAATTGTTGACAATTGGAGCAATCTGGAATTCCCTCTTAACATCTAGCCTGAATCTCCTTCCATGCACCTTCAACTTTTGGTTCTGGACGTATCTCTACATTTTAATTAATGTTCAAACTTAACATTTATTTCCATTTCGGACTTTGCCAGCATCAAAATGGTGTAGCCTCATGTCAGATCATCTTATAACTTCCACATATCCTATGGATTGACAGACGTGACTCAGGACAGAAGTCTTATTAACATATATAAAACAAATACAGTCCTTCCAGATCCTGTAGAACGATGCTGATTTTTCCATACAGGAACTGCCCAGGATTCAGTCTGAAGGAGGAACAAAACACCGAGGAGAAGAACTGTGTTTATTGTTGGTTGCCTGCTTTAGAACAAAGTGGGACCCTAAACAAAGGAAAAGCAAATATTTTTTATAGAAATTGAAGGCTACAAGACAGGGAATCCTAGGTATCCCATTTTGGGAAAATTAGACAGGTCCATGTCACTATACCTGGGGATAGATCTAGTGCTAAGCAAAATGGACCTTTCAGAAGGACAGCAGAACTGAAGAACTTCTTTGTGAAGGACATGAAATGTTGAAGTCATCAACTAATGGAAGATGGAAGGTTGGGTTTTCTACGTTGCATTACTGCTCTTGGGCTGTGCTGTGAACTGGTGAGGGGGCTTCTATTTTTTGCTTTGATGGGACTGTGGGGGCTTTGTCTGGGACAGGGAGGGCCAAATTGGGTTTGATGGGATTAGGCAAAGAGATAAACTGACCAGAGAATAAACTGGTCATGTCCAAAAGATGGGAGGAAAAAGGATACAACTTCTATTTCCTTCGTTAGACTTGTTTTCTCCACTAGAGAATTAATATGATACCTCTTTGAGTAGAGCTACAGACTGTATGCCATTTTAATTGATAAATGATCCAAACATTTCCTGCTTTGTATAATTAACAGTTTAACTGTCAAAAATAAAAAAGTGTTTCTTACATCATATTTGCTCCTTCAAATATGATGTAATAATCCGAATTTCTGGGAAACTTTAATTCTTTAGTTGTGTCATTCTATTCATAAATTTCCCTCCTCCCACAAAATCTTCCAAAATGATTCTTGCATAGGAGCTGAGAAAAAAGTCCCCTAGATTTCCACAATGCCATCCAGATGTTTTCTCAGATCAGTCTGGGAAACATTTCCACAAAACGAGCTGAAGAAACTTGTTGGATGATAAGCCAAACGTCTTCCAAGAAAAACAAGAAAGTCCAGTTGTCTCTTGAAAAAGCACCTTTGGAATTTCCACAATGTTTGCCATCCAGATGTTTTCTCAAATCAGTCTCCCATTCTTTTTTTTCAAATCTTTGGGGGGGGGGGACTTTCTGTATCTGTTTCTAATAATCACCTACATTTTACAGATCCTGTTTTTAGTTTAAGAAGGGTAGTTTTGCATGAATTTATCAAAATTTGTTAATGTGCAGTTTGTAAGCTTTTACCCTTTCAGTACACTGAATTCATAAGAACCTTTGTAAATCATAATTGGTGCTCTATATCCTTTTTGTTGAAAGGGAAGGATCTTTGTAAAACCTTTTATTCTGAATATCCCTTTCCACAATTTCACTTTCTCAGCTCTATATTGATCAGAACACAATAGATATATCATTATGGGAGTTAAAAGGGCTGTGTCCTCTATAATGCTGCATATGTCTTCTGTATAAGGATCAATTATTTATTTTTCTGTACTTTGGATAGGTCTAAAGGTATGATGGGGAGAAACAGACTCAGGCTCAACCCTTCCAAGACCGAGTGGCTGTGGCTGCCGGCGCCTCGGCATAGTCAGTTGACTCCGTCGCTGACTATAGGGGGCGAAACTTTGGCTCCCTCGGAGAGGGTACGCAATCTGGGTGTCCTGGATCCACGGCTGACACTGGAAGACCAGTTGACGGCCGTGGCCAGGGGAGCGTTTTACCAGGTACGCCTGATTTACCAGTTGCGGCCTTTTCTGGACCGGGACGCCTTGCGCACAGTCACCCATGCTCTTGTCACCTCCCGCCTGGACTACTGCAATGCTCTCTACATGGGGCTCCCCTTGAGGAGCACTCGGAGGCTCCAGTTAGTCCAAAATGCAGCCGCGCGGGCGGTGTTGGGAGGGACTCGTCGCTCCCATGTAACGTCGTTGCTGCGCGAGCTGCACTGGCTGCCGGTGGCTTTCCGGGTGCGCTTCAAGGTGTTGATTATCATCTTCAAAGCGCTCCATGGCATCGGACCTGGTTATCTCCGAGACCGCCTTCTGCCGCAGACTACCTCCCATCGGCCGATACGCTCCCACAGAGTGGGTCTCCTCAGGGTGCCGTCAGCCAGACAGTGCCGGCTGGCGACCCCCAGGGGGAGGGCCTTCTTGGTGGGAGCTCCCACCCTATGGAACGAACTACCCCCAGAGATCCGGGTGATCCCAGATCTCCCTTCCTTCCGCCGCGCCCTTAAGACATGGTTATTTAAGTTGGCAGGACTGGCCTAAGGGTTTTTAGCTTGGTTTTATAATAATTTTTAAAAATAACAAAGGCCTAATAATATTTCATTTTAATCAACATTTTAACTTTAGTATTTTCTGTATTTATGTATTTGTTTTAAAAGGCTGTAAGCCACCCTGAGTCCGCAGGGAGAAGGGCGGGGTAAAAATATAAATAATAAATAAATAATAAATAAATGGTGAGTGGCCTGAGCCTTCTCCCTAGTAGTGTATGGTCACTTAATGACTGCAACTGGGACAGCCAGGATTATGGTTGTTGAGCAAAGTAGGCATGTGATGTCTTGCTTAAAAACTGCTTCATTCAACAACCAAGATTCTGGGCCCAATTGTGAACATAAGTGGATGGCTACCTGTAATTTAGTAAGCAGCATTTTAACTGCAGCATTCAGGCTGGGATCTTAGAACAGCTTTTATTCCAGTGTTGCATTTTCTTGTTAATCTTTCTCCACATTGGAGTATAGCGCAGCGTAGCATAGAGTAGAGTAGAGTAGAGTAGAGTAGAGTAGAGTAGAGTAGAATAGAATAGAATAGAATAGAATAGAATAGAATAGAATAGAATAGAATAGAATAGAATAGAATAACAGTTGGAGGGGACCTTGGAGATTTACTAGTCCATCCCCCTGATCAGGCAGGAAAACCTATATATTTCAGGCAAATGGCTGTCCAGTCTCTTCTTAAAAACTTCCAGTGTTGGAGGATTCACAACTTCTGGAGGCAAAGTCATTCCACTGATTGATTGTTCTAGCTGTCAGGAAATTTCTCCTTAATTCTAGGTTGCTTCTTTCCTTGATTAGTTTCCATCCGTTGCTTCTTGTACTGCCTTCAGGCGCTTTGGAGAATAGCTTGACTCGACTTACTACTTGACTACCTATTTACTCACTTCACAGGAACACTCAAGCTATGAAGGGTAGGGCTTGCGCGTAAGCTATTATCACAAGTGCCTGACTTTATCTGGGTGTGGATGAAAAATATATTAGCTTTTGGTTATTTTTTTTCTATTGGTATCAAAACTAAATGTAACAATTGATAAAGTATTCCAGAGAAAAGGTTGCAGATTGCATCTTTTTGTTAGCTGTTTCAAGTGCTATTACTAATATGTATATTGTGTGCAAGGTGTGGTATTTTGCGGCTTCCTTCTGCAGGTTACTGGCATAGCACTCAGTGACTCACTGTAAGTATTTCCAATAAAGTACACTTCATTGTTTCTACATCCTAATCTTTTTAGAATAGAAAACATAGAATAACGAAGTTGGAAGAGATCTTAGAGGTCTTCAAGTCCAGCCCTCCGCTCAAGCAGGAGATCCTAATTTACTTGTTTATTTATTTATTTTATTTTAGCAAAGGACTTTTTAGGTGAGCATGTTTTCCTCACAATAGCCATTAAATATTTTTAAGGATTTTCTTAAATAAAGGGCTTATGTTTCAAAGGTGTTTCTAAGATATTAGATAATTTTTCTGTAGTTTGAACAGGTAAAAAAGCACAGATTTTTTTTTACTTAAATGTGAAACCTGAT